TGCTAGGCAGGCTCAGTGGTGCACGCCTGTAATCCTAGTGGCTCAGGAGGCTGAGGCGGGAGGATGAAGAGTTCAAAGCCAGCATCAGTAACAGCAGGAGCTAAGCAATTTAGTGAGACTCTGTCTCTAAATAAAATACAAAATAGGGCTGGGGATGTGGCTCAGTGTTGAGTGCCCCTGAGTTCAATCCCTGATATCAAAAGAAAGAGGAGGAGGAGGAGGAGGAGGGCTAAAGGCCATCCTTGTTACACTGTTGGAAAAAAAATGGGAGCATTTTGCCCGGGCCCCGAAACTATGTGAGAGATTGAGTTTGAAGATGATGGGCTAGTTTCCTTGGTAGAGGATATTGGATAGCAGCAAAGCATTTAAGTAGTGATATAGGCATTACTGACTGCTTATACCTAAATTTACAGTGACAATTTGGCTCAAAAAGGAACAGCAGAATGGTTTCAAAAATTCACAGTTTGAGCCAGGCACAATGGTGCAAACATGTAATCCCAGCAACTGGGGAGCCAAGGCAGGAGGATTGCAAGTTTGAGGTCAGTTCAACAACTTAGCAAGACTCTCAGCAACTTTGCAAGACTTTATCTCAAAAAAATAAAATAAAAAGGGCTGGGGATATAACTCGGTGGTAGACACCACTAGATTTAATTCATAGTACTAAACAAAACTGAAAATAAAACAAAATGATATCTGAAGTGAAGTGAAATTAAGTTAAATTAAATTCACAGTTTTCCCAGATAAGGAACATGCATAAACTTTCAGAAAAGAGAGTGTAATCATTAGCACTGGTAATAAGAAGCCAAGTGCTTTGGACCAGAACTATAAGAAGGAGGACTTGAGAGCATCTCAGAGGTCTGCAAGGCCACCCCAAGTTTCACAGGCTCAAAAGTGCAGAAGTATAAATTTCTTTGAAAAACTTTCCTTTGTGGAAAGAACGCTGGTGCCTAATGCACCTATGGATTGATTTCCCTGTATTCAGCTAGCAGGACACTCAGAGGCCAAGGACACTCAGAGGCCACTGCAGTCGTGGTTCATGTGGGCCCGTCAGGTGGGTCTATGGTGATAGACCTAAGCCTTGTACACATGGTGCTGGTTTTTCAGACAAGCAGAATAAGAGTTATTGGGCAATGGAGCCCTCTATCAATATTTCAAAGGAAACCCTGGGAAGCAGGGTAGTATGTAACAGGTGCCAGTCCCTGTAAGCAGCTCCTTGGAGGGCAATACATGGATTTGTGGAGATGAAGGCAAAACAAAAATGGAGACGACAGGAAAGTCAATGTCAGAAATGTGAAATGCCTGCCAAAGGAAGCTGCAGGCTTCCCTTAAATAGAGCCAGCCAAGAAAGTGGTCACGTGGGCTAAAACCAGCAATGCCATAGGGGTAGGGCTGTCCAGGACATGGGAGCACACTTCCTGCCCCAGTGTACCCTGTATGCTGAACATGGATCTGTAGGATGTAATGTTTTCCCTGCTGGTTTCAGGTCTTGAAAGAACAAACAAGGCTCATAGTCAGAGAAAATGCCCGTTTATTGAGGAACAGCTCTGCATATTTATAGAGCTGGGGGTGGTTTGACAGTTATGACAGTTTAATGGTTGAATGGTTTGACAGTTGGCATGGGGTGCTTTCTGATTGGTGGGTAATGATCATGTGAGCCAGCAGGGCTAGTCTGATTGGTGGGTAAGGATCATGTGAGCCAGCAGGGCTAGTCTGATTGGTGGGTAAGGATCATGTGAGCCATCAGGGCTAGTCTGGTGGGTAAGGATCATGTGAGCCAGCAGGGCTCACCATTGGATGGCTCTTCTCGGGGGATGGGGAAGTTAGTCTTTGGAGCCGGGTCAACTCCTAACAGGTCTTGTTTTAATCCAATCCCTCTTTCTAATCCTCTTGGAGGGAAGATTTACTCTGTGACTGTGCCACCATTCTACCATAGAAGTATGTAACTTTCTTTTTCATGTATACAAGGGCTCACACCTAAGAGTTTGCCTTTATTCTCAGAGACATTCTGAACTTGGAATTTTGAACAATACTGGGACAGTCATACTTTGGGAACTTTTGGGAAATTCATATTGGATGAATGGACAGATGGAGAAAGGGAGTTGGACAAGAGCCTTTTGGGGTTAGGGATAAATACTATAGTTTGGATCTTAAAAGTCCCCCCAAAGCCTGTGTGTTACAGAGTCAGTCTCCAGAGCAGAGCTATTAGAAGTGGCGGAGCCTTTCAGAAATGGAGTCTAATGGGAGGTCTTTAGGTCATAGAAACTGTGTGCCTTAAAGTACTTTGGGATGCTGGCCCCCTTCTCATTCTCTTTTGCTTCCTGGGCATGAGGTGAGCAGTTTTACTCCATCATATGCTCTAGTCATGATGTGCTGCACTACCCCCTCAAAAGCAGTCGTGAACTGGAAACTCCAAAACTATGATCCAAAGTAAATCTTTTCTCTTTGAGTGGATTGTCTCAGATATTTGTTATATTAAAACAAAGCTGATTAACACAATGGCCATTTGCATTTTGGATTGTAGAATCTAGTAAATGTTCTGGTGTCAATTTCCCACTTTTTGCCACATTCTCATTAATATGCTTCTTTCCCTTGGCTACATTTTCTATATTCTAAAAGTTGAGGTGAGCAGTAGAATCCCTGTGGTAATGAGTTTCCTGGCAGATAAAAACTGCTACTAAAACCCAACAGCCTGAGGAAAGCTGTGAATGGACCAGAGGTGATTGCCAAGCTCAGGTTAAGGGTAAGGTAACACCAGGCTCTTCCACCAGCCTTCTCCAAAGTTGTTAGGTTCTTAGCGTGAACCAGCGTTGTGTTGGGCCTGGAAGGTGAATGGGCAGCGGTCAAGAAAGGTGTTGTGTTTCATTAAGACAAACGAAACCAATTTTTTCTTTAAAAGCAAATTTATAGAAGTTGGATACAAGAAAACAAACATACTGTAATCAGAAGGAAATCACATGTGATTTAGCATAAAACTTGGAAAGAAGTAACCAAAATCTCTCATCAATTCTAGTCATTTATCAGAAGATAGACACACCAATTTTGTCCTGCTCATGGGGATATGCCTTTCTCATCTGGCTGCCTGGACACCAAGCCACCTTCTCATCTTTACTCTCATTTCTCAGGTACTTCCAACTCAGAAAGGGGAAGCCCTACACAGTGGACATAAGTAGTCCAATCCCTGTGCCTCACTGTAAATTAAATTCGATGGCTGGTTTGCAGAGCTTATTATGTGATTTCTACTCAAAAATGAGTGAAGATCCAATCCTGAAACTAGCCCAGACTCAGCTTCTGAGGTAGGCAAAGGCCTTGAAAGACCCTGGGCGCAGCTCTACTGAAGCCAACTTCGAAAGAGCTTCTGAAATCAGAATAGTGTTGCCACATCCCCCCTAACATAAATGGGGAGAAAATTAACACATAAAAGTAACTTTAATTCAGGACAGGGATAGCTTAGTAGTGGAGTGCTTGCCTAGCATGCATAAGGTCAGGAGTTTAATTCCCAGCAATGCAAAAACAAAAACACTTTAAAAGAAAACTCTGCAAAACTCTTTAATCTCCATAATGGAAAGAATTACTGTATTTCACTGAATCTGAGATAGTGATTGTAAAATAGAGCATTATCATATAGTTATATATGTATAGGGGGAACATGGAACTAACTTTGCCACAATATTAATGATCATTGATTGGAAGGTATATCCTGATGTCAGAGATTTTAAAGGTGTGGTAAAAATGAATATCTTAGGATCAATTAAATTCAGCACCAAAAAGTTATTCTTCAAAAAATTTATTCAAATAATATATTAGAATTAAGTATATTAAATTGTAACCTACTCATTATTGGTAGCATATACTTAAAATTTTTTGTTTCATTTCTCATTAAAAACAAAGGATGGACTGACACATGGGTTAATTTAGGGGATGTGTTGTAGGAACTTTAAAATTTATGGATTTTCTTAGGCAATCATTTCATTTTCATTTCTCGAATCACAGATCAGGACATGATAGACAAGACCTATGTTAAGTCTCTCAGTGTAGAGCCAAGTCTCCTGGGCCCTGCTGTGTTCTCTTCATGGAAATCAAAAATCAAGTGAGTCCATAGCATTCTTTCGTCTAACCCTACAGGTAAGGTAAAGCAATTAATAAAAGCATTTATTCCACCAAAGATGTTCTTTCATGAAACTACTGAACTTTCCAGGGTTACGGATGCATGGAAATTTACACAGCAAATCCAACCCATTCCTCCCTCATTTTGCTCTTTTAGGACATTACCCAAGTTTTCAAACAAATGGCTTCTTGGCACGTTCTGAAAGGTATAGACCATAAAATATTACTTAATCAGCTTTATGCCAAACACTGGTCTCCTGACCAAATACTACTTGGTAGTTTATGGAAGACTCTGGGAAGTATGCAACATTTTGTAACTTTTTAGCATTTGCTACAAATGGAACAGACATCCTATTTCAGTGTCCCCAGAGCATGTTGAAAATCTGTGAATGCTGTCCTGTGGCTGGCTTTTTCAAAAGTGGTAATTATTCAGGGCAGTACATAAATAATCCATCTTCCCCAAGTGTTTGCCCCTTTTTTGTCCTAACTTCTGGCAAGGTGCTTCATAGAGGAATCACCAGTATTAATTACAGAAGATGCAAAGGTTAGCACATCTGAAGAGATTGGAAGACATTGGAGACTGACTGCGGGCTGTAACAAAATATTTCCACATCTCTTTTAAAGGATGACTCATTGTGTCATTCATTCCAAAACACTTCAAAATTCATTTCATTCCATTGTTATGCATCCCCCTCTTCATTCTATTTTTATAGCCTAGAACTATAGGGCACAGCTTTCTTGTCCTCACTCTTTCTGTTAGCTTTTCGCTGGCGATCCAGAGGCAAGGTGGCTAATTTATACAGCACAGGAAATATAACAGCAGTGAATATCGCTGACCCTAAACAGGAATACAGAACAATAGGCAAGTCTGGATATTGTCCTTCAACAACTCCAATTATTGCAGGAATAGCCATGTCTCCCAGGGCTGCACCAATTACCAAAAAGGCTGCTGATTTCCCACTTATGGTTGTGTACTGCTCAATCCAGGAAATACCGCTGGGAAACGTGGTTGCCATTGAGGCCCCATACACTGAAGTGGCAATCCAGAGACAGAGTGGATTCTTGTTGAAAAGCACCAGAAATAAAGATGAAGCCAGGCTGCCAATGTTGCTCAACACAATCATGGTGCCTGGCTGTAGGCATGCAGCAAAGAAGATCGCCAGGCCTCTGCAGGCTGCAAAGGTCCCCCAGAAGATGGAGTTCAACCCAGCTGCTTCACTTTCTTCCATGCCAGCATAGGTGGTGGCAAAGGAGAAAATATAGGAGCCATAAGTTATCTCTGCTCCAACATAAAAAAAGAAGAACACGAAAAGGAGGCAGAGAAGGGTCTTGTGATATTCAGCTCTTCGATATGCCTGAGCAGATACTTTTGCTCTTTCCTGCCTTGAGCTTTTCTTAAAAAACAGAGCAAAAATGAAGACAGACACTATGAAAATATAAGCACCTATAAAAGCATAAGCCCAGAATAGATTCATGTCATCAGGCAATCCAAAGAGAGGGGCTGAGTCAGCTTCAGATGATCCGTTGGTGGCTGGAGACTGAAAGGCAGGCTCTGTGTGGTTTTCAGCAGACACTGAGGTACCCAGTGCCAATTTAGCCAGAAGTGGAGCCAGAAAAGCACCCAAGGCGAAACCAAAGTGTAATGACTGCATGTGTGGGGCTCCTTTGTCCCCCCAAAGAGCCAAAATGAGGATGTTACCACCTGCCAACGAAAGATGGGGAAATGATTTATGTTAAACACAGTAATGCTGGAAAAGGTAATTAAGAAAAGAAGGCTGAGTCTGTATCATGTGGCTTGCACATTGCAATATTCAGAGTTATCGAACATGACACCTGACCCAGTTCTCTGATTGAGGAACTGTAACCCAATACTACCAGAGAGCTAAGTGTATGACATCTCATGCATGCTGGAATTCTATAAGCTGATAAACCACTACCTCCAAGCACACTAGCCAAAGCTTTTCATAAAAACAGTGCTAACACTGTATTTGGAAATAATGCTTATTCACCTATTTATTTCTAAATAATTAAAATATATATGTATTTACTAGACAAATATGACCATCAGATAGTAGCCAATTACTAAAGCTTTCTTTTTCTTGGAACTGGTAGTCACTTCAAGAACATCATTTACCTATGTATAAACCAGATGCAAAATACACTTTGAGGAACCCTAATACTGTAGGATTCTAGTAAGCCCGTTACAGGGAACAAGAACATCTTTCAGCATCTGTATTCACCCTGTCTGGACACCTGCAAAGTGAAAGACTGGAAGCATCAATTGTTTGGCTTCCTTTTTTAAAGATTAGATATTTTCTGATGAATGTATAATTCTACCCTGTAGTTTAACATCCAAACTAAGTCTGACATATAAAATATTTCCTTGCAGTATCTGATAACATTAGAATGGGAAAGTGGACCTTCAAAGCTGGATTTGGCCCTCAATAAGCATCACCTGTGTCATCGGATGACCCATGGATTAACTCGACTGCAGCGGGGCAGGAAACTTTGAGAGGGAAAAGAAAGGAAACCAAGGTAGCATACAATACGGGTTTCTCTCAACTCAAAAACAAGGGTATAGTTTAAATTGAATGGCTGCTTCTCTTCTTTCACCACCAAATAAGGGTTCCAAACTTGTTTTATCCTAGTGAACCATCAATCCCTTATACTACAGTAACAAAAATCTATCACAAAATGAAAGCTTGCTTCTCTGTACTGGAATTAGCCACAGGAAGGTGTCCTTCCCTTTTTAGATAATATAAATCAACAATCTCCCACAGAACAAAATCCTTTATGTTCACTTTACATTTGGCCGCTCAAAAATTGATACCCTAACTGGCAAGAATAATTGATAAAAGAGTGATTCTGAATGACCCATTCAGAGAGCCCATGTCATTTCAAGAGCATTGCAAGTGACAGTTTTTTTTTTAATTTATTGGTTCATTATAATTATACATACTAGAGGGATTCTTTATGCCATATACTTTCATGCACATAATATAAGTTAATCAATCTCATTCCCCAGTACCTTCACTTTCCTTCCCTTCCTCCCTCTCCCTGATTCACTTGCTCTACTCTACTGATCCCCCTTTTATTAGCAAGTGATAGTTTAATACCACCTGCTCTCCCAGAGGTGACACTATAAGAATTCACTTACCTGTATCCAGAATACCTATTGAAGTGCCAAGGACAGACATCATGACTATCAGTGATACTGCTCTCTTGCACAAAGGAATAATGTAAAGACCAACTGTAGTAGCTAACATTGACATCCCTGAGAAGAAAAGGTAAAAAGCAACTATTTAGAAATAGTGTGAAGCCAGGCACTGTGGCACATGCCTATAATCCCTGCAACTCAGGAGGCTGAAGCAGGAAGATCGCAAGTTCAAAGTCAACCTCAGCAACTTAGCAAGTCCCTGTCTCAAACCACAAAAATAAAAAGGGCTGGGGATGTGGCTCAGTGGTAAAGTGCATCTGGGTTCCATATCTGGAACCAAAAAAGAAAGAAAGAAAGAAAATAAAAAGAAAAAAAAAAGAGTGTGCATTATGGTCATCACTTCCAGCGCAAAATAAGATCAAATTAAAGGTGTGTAATTGTGGGTTGGGGTTGTAGCTCAGTGGTAGAGTGCTTGCCTCACATGTGTGAGGCACTGGGTTCAATCCTCAGCACCACATAGAAATAAAGATATTGTGTCCATCTACAGCTAAAAAAATATTTTTTTAAAAAAGTGTGTAATCAGGAATTTACCTATGGGAACCCATGAATCATGGGTTGCAGAAGCTCTTACAAGACATTATTTCATTTAAACCTTATCTAGCTTGTAGACTATAAAATGTAAATTTCTATGACATGAATATAATTCAGCACTAATAGTAACGAGACTATAAATTATACTACAAAGTTTTATAGCAAAAGAGAAAGGCCAAAAATTAATTACTTAAATATTTCACATATAAAAAAAACTAAAGAATTTTTAAGTAGAAGTTAACAGTTTAATAAGTCAAAAGGAAAATGCAATCAATATAGTAGGAAAGTACTAATAATTTTGAGAAATAGGGGCAGAAATACATTTTTTCAACCTGCTTTGGAATTAAAAGAGCTTCTTTATGTATTCATCAGCAATAAATGATTCTTCTTGCTTCCAGAGGAATTTTATGACATTAATCTGGATTTTTTTAAAAATGTGTCAATTCATCCAAAAAGGAGTATGATAAAAGCTTTGGCATCTATTTACATTCTGGGGCCATCACTGACATGAGGCAGAAGGGACAAAAATGTAGCCTTCCTCAGTTCACTTACCATCCCTTTTCTCTCATTTTCAATCTGAAGTCCATAGAGCCTGGGCAGGTTCCAGGAGCTCTTTCTAATGTCTGTGGCCCTAGGAGATCTGCCCTACACTCTGATGAGCAGAGCCTTTTGGACAACCAGGGAATGCACCTAAATGACAGTGAAGTGGTACCTAAGTTACAGTCAAGGTCAGGAAGTCTAAGCATCGCTAACACATACACCTGAGGGCTGATCTGAGTTTCCAGAGGGCCCAGCACAGATTCCCCTGAACTGCCAAGGTGAGAGCAGGACTATGGAAACCCAGTTCCACAGAGGACACCAAAATACCACTCATTTCAAGTGTCATCCATTTCACTCCGCAGGCTACTGTTTTCATATGTAGAGCCATATTGTAAATGCAATGATAGTAACAAAGAAGCAGAAATCAGCGTTTACTTACCCATGAGTAAAAAATCATTCATACAGTCAAAAAGAACTCCACCAATCATAGAGCCACACAGAAATCCAGAGGCACGGCCCACAAAAATTAGTGAAAGACTGCTGATATTTCTGTTTACATTCCTTGCCAAATCTTGAAAGGTGGGTCCCAGTATAGCGACACCCAGTCCCTAAAATTTAAAAAGACAAAAAAGCTTTTTTTTTTTTTTTCACTTACGATCATTAAAATTATGTCCATCTAAGTGGTGGCTTTTTCCAGTTTAAAAAAAAAAAAAAGTGGGAGGGGGGATGTTACTCAGCTTTTTATAGCTGTGACAAAATACCTGACAGAAATCGATGGAAGAAAAGATTCATTTTGGCTTATAGTTTCAGAGGTTTCCGCCCAGAGTCACTGGTTTCATGCATTTAGGCCTGTGGCCAGACAGAACATTATGCAGAAAGCACATGGTGGAGCAGAGCTGCTCACCTCATGATGGCCCGGAAGCCATGAGAAAGGAAGGCTCTGCTGACACATCATTCAGAGGCTCCAAGTAGGCCCCACCTCCTAAGCTTGCATCCCCTCCCAGTAGCATCACAGGTTGCAACCAAGCCTTTAGCACATGGCCTTTGGGGGACACTTCACATCCAAACCATAACAAGGAATTACAGTGTCATGGAAGAGATTATTTTCAGAACCAAAATCAATAAAAATATACAATGACAATACTGTTAGGATTAGAGCTATAGATTCCCATGGTTTTTCTTGTATTGGCAATTCTCAATTTTTAAAAATGATTGAGCTCTTCTGGCTTTGCTTTTTTCTTTTCTTTTCTTTTCTTTTTCTTGCACTTTCAAATTAAAAAAAAAACATGGAAGACCTCTGTATTAAAAGTTAATTAAACAATAACATTAAAAATTTTATTGAAATTGACATGCATGTTTTCAAATATAACTACATGAACTAACATGAGAATTCAGATGTCAGAAAATTAAATTATCAACATATTATTTTCATACTTGGTGTTACTAAAACAGCACTTTTGCTGGTACAATGGGGGTCCACCCTCTGAACTACACATATATGATATTTAGGAGATTAAACTATATAAAATTTTCTAAATCCACATTTTTGTTCAAAGAAATCCCAAAGCTACCAGGAACACAGTCTGTGTAGCTTCCTTAGCAACATACATACATACCAGGTGGTTGGGCAAACGTTGAAATGAAAAATGTTAAAGCTGGTTTTGTTTAGATGTTGATGTAGATCTTTACATATGATATATGTGTGACATTTTTTATTATAATACTTTAGTTGCAAATTAAATCATAAAAGAGCTCCACTTAATTGGCTTTAAGAAAAATAAACTCTAATACAAATTAAGTATTCCTTTGAAAAATAAGAACTAATCTGTATTCTTTTCAATTTTATGCGACTTGAGTAATAACTTTGATTCCTAAGAATATGGTTGGTTTAATGAAAACAGGCATGTCTTTAGGGTTTTCAGTATTCGATATGATATAGATACAGAATTTTTCCTACTTAGGTTTACAAGTAAAATAAGTTACGTGATCTCTATAGTACAAAATTTGTCTGCCAAATATAACATGATGGTTAGCTGTTTGATGTCTCATCTTTACAAGCAATTCAAACATAATTGTTCATAATAAATGAGTTAAACAGATGTACAAAATATTCTCATGTAAAAGATGTTCTTCCTATATCATAATGATTTGCTTTTTTTTTTTTTCCTTCAAATCAAGAATGAACAACTGGGGGCTGGGGATGTAGCTCAGTTCTAGTGCATTTCCCTATCATGGGAGAGATGCCCCGTTCCCTCCCCAGCACCCTTCCTTCCAGGAAGCTCCTCCAACAAAAAACAATAATAGAAAGTTGGGGTGAGAGAAATCCATACAAACAAGAATTTCATTCTCAGGGTGATTTAAAACAAATAAAGCTAAGGGAATTGTGTTAAGTTTTTGCGCCCTCTACAGTTTCTTTGACACAAAGACTAAAGATATTGGAACTGTTATTAACAGGTTCTGTGCCACCAGGACACATTACACTATGAGACAGCACATGATTCTGGAAGTTACAGTTTATAGACTTGCCATTGTACAATTGCTGGAGTGGAGTTCACAATGGTATGTGTTATGGTTTGGATGTGTGGTGTCCTCCAAAAGCTCACATGTGAGACAATGCAAGAAGGTTTGGAGGAGAAATGATTGGGTTATAGCTTTAACCTAATCAGCACATTAATCCCTTCTGGGATTAACTGAGTGGTGACTGGAAGTAGGGGTTCATTGGGAGCACGGCTATGGGTGTATGTGTAATACTTGCAGAGTGGAGTCTCTCTCTCTGCTTCCTGATCGTCATGTGAGCTGCTTCCTTCTGCCAATCAGTGATGGTCAGCCTCACCTCAAGCCCCAAGGAATGGAGCCTGCTGTCCATGGACTGAGACCTTTGAAAATGTGAGCCCACAACTAAACTTTTCTTCCTCTACAATTGTTCTGGTCAGGTCGTTATGTCACAGCAGCAGAAAAATCTGACTAAAACAGATTGCTTCTCAGTGTTCGGTAGATATACAGGAATGTAAATTCCAATTGACATACGAAACTGAAGTTAATAGAATGAGTGACTAAGAACATTGTAGAAGGCTTATGGAAGATGAATTGTGTGAAAGGAATTCTATGTGTGACCAAGCTGACATTAGAAAAAAAGGAATTATTTAAAAGTTTTTCTAAAAATTGAGTATTACTATCTGTTACAATGCAAAACTAGAATCTGGTCCTTACTATCAAAACAACAAGGTTTTAGCCACATGCAGTGAAACATGCCTGGGACTTAGAAGGCAGAGGCAGAAGAATTACAAATTCAAGGCTACAAGGCCAGAAACAGCCACTTAGCTGTGTCAAATTTATTTTTTTTTTCCAAAAAGTGGGTCTGAGACTGTAGTTTAGTGTTAAAGTGACCCTGGTTTCAATCTTTAATATCAAAAATGAAAATAAACCCCCCCCCAAAAAAACCCTTTTTTTTGAGTATTGATCAGCTATTTATTTATTTATGTGCTGGGGGGGTACTTTACCTCCGAGCTACATAGCCAGGCCTTTTTTAATTTTATTTTGAGACACGGTCTTACTAAATTGCTAAGGTCTCACTAAGTTGCTGAGGCTGGCCTAGAACTTGCAATCTTCCTGCCTCAAATTAGTGTGGTCAACTCTTAATTGAAAATTGTGAAGGATTGTTCTCACATTTAAGGTAATTGGCCTAAACGGCAAAGAATCTAAGTTTTACCAAGATAATCTTGTACTTCGTGTTATTTTCTTGTGCTTCTTTATTAGGTTTCTGATCATTTAAAAACAAAGTTCTCTTTGTCAAAAGAACTAAGGTTTTTCAATAACTGTAATTTTCTGTATTTGTCTTTGAAGTGTTAATATCACTTTGGTTAAATGTGATGATCTTTGATCTTATTTTGACCAAGTGTTTTAAACCTTTGATTTTTAAAATTTTTTTAATATTTATTTTTCAGTTGTAGTTGGACACAATACCTTTACTTTATTTATTTTTATGAGGTGCTGAGGATCGAACCCAGGGCCTCATACATGCTAGGTGAGTGCTCTACCGCTGAGCCACAC